CCCCAAAACCCCAAAACCCCAAGATGTTTGAATGAAATATAAAGCATGAAAGTGTCAACTTTTAATTTTGGTAAATAAGCAAATCATAATGAGTAAATGTATTAAACTTTAGCATCAAAATAATAGAAATAGCAATTAAATATTCAAAATAATGGAAAGAAGGAGTATTAGTAAATTTGCAGGTATTCTTAATTTCTTGTTTAATTCTTACAGTTCCTACGGATGAATCTGATGATTACAGATAAAGTAAGTTAGAAACAAAAGATATAAAAGCCATTTTTCAATTCATTTTTCAATCAAGATGTTAAACTTACTTAACTTAGTTAATTAAGAAGGAAGAAGTAGGAAACGAATTAATGATCTAGGTTCATAGAGAGTCACCAATTTTGGATAGACTAGTGCGAGTGAATCTTTGATGATTGAGCATAAGCGTAGGTTATAAGATCCTTTAAGATTATAAAAGGAAAACTTTGAATTATGGAACTAGGAGGACTTCGAATAAACAAAGTAATAATTCTACTTTCAAACAATTTTTAACCTATTACTACAGAGGGAACATCCTTAAGTAGGATTTTACAAACCAAGAAAGTAATGAGGAGAACTTATGGGAATATGCCAATTTCAATCCAGGTGGTTCATATGAATGTCCATCACCTTAAATTAGTAAGAATTCAGCAATGTTAAAATAATTTTACGATAGTAAACAGCTGGACAACTTCAAAGTTGACTGGGACCAACAGGGGATTGCTGATTCGTTCGTAAATAATAAAAACAATAAAAACTTTCACTCTAAGGACAATGGCTGTTTCTATCAATGTTAAAGGGCGGCTATATGGAAATTCAATGTTTTGGATCTTCACAAGAGTAAGAGACAACATAGAAACTTCAAAGCCTATCTGCATACTAAAAAAGATGCCTGACTCTTAAAGAATATTTTGCATCTTTGGCCAAATGGTTGAGAAGATATCAACTGTTTCTCAGGGTAATACTAATAGATAATAAGACGTTGAAAGCGCATACGAGGACACTGTTGAAGATTAAGATCGTATGAAATATTTATTGAAGTCTAACCAAGTGCCAGGTGAGATGCAGTTTAAGTTCTTTAAAAACTAGGAAATACCAGAATTCTTTTACAACTTAGACACAGATTAATACTTAAAATAGCCTTAGTAAAAAGCATAGCAGGAAGATTTTGTTGACTTTAACATGGTGCTAATTGATAATGGAGATGACAGAGTGTGTTTGCAGGGTAAGAATTAATTTATATTAAATTGATAATTAATAGTTGGACTGAATGATAGAAAGACACTTAATCTAATATGCTAGATGTACATGCCAATATTTGATGCTACTAAAGTCCTTTTTGCTGGTAAAACTAAATTATTCTCATCAAGTTTTATAGGCTCTGGTCATGCTACTTATTTGAAAGAGGTATCAGTTAAATAAATATAAAGATAAGACTATTTTAAAACTGGTTTAAAAGAAGGACATTTCGAATGTTGCAATACTTTCTGATTATTTGTAATCAGTGTTAGGAAGAGACAATATTGTGATTTAATGTTTCTTATTAGTCTGATAGGAGAAAGCCATATTAACTTACATATATTTTGAATATTCTATATCAATATAACTATTAATCAATTAAGTTAAATATGTGTTTCATCAATAAAAACATCCCTTCATTGATCAACTTAGGAATGAATGCGATATTGATTATACTTCTTGTGATAGAAATTTTATCTGGAATTTTCACTTGATTTTGTTAAGCTCCTCTCTTCTTTGATCATCAAATTACTGATAGTTCCTTTGGTACATTGAGGCAACGATACTAGCTTTCCAGAAGTAAGAGAAAACACCGACTCCAGCCCAGAAAATAACTGGGTTAGCTCTGATCTTAGTAGCAACTATGTTTACCATTATTTCTGCTTGATTATATTATTTTTATTATTATAATCAATCTCCTTTTTATCTCTTTATTATATGATTGGGGTTTTGGGGTTTTGGGGTTTTGGGG